TTAATACTCACTTATGGTATGACATTAGTTCAGGCCATTTCAAGCACAAAATATGATAAATAAAAACCGGAGACATTCTTCTTCCTACAAACTTGCAGAACGTGGAACTAATGCCTTCTAGATCTGAAAATTAAAATGAAGACGTTTCTATTTCTCCTTATTTTATATTGTAAAAGAAAAGCTAAAAATATATTAATATTGGCATTGCAATACTGAAATAATATCCGGTACTTTTTTACCTTTCTGGTCTACTAAATACTTTTAGAGAGTAAAATATCGATTGACCATTATTCAGCTGGATACCTACTGCCAAAACTTAACAATTTTTAAGTTGAAAATCAATGATTGAAATTAGGACAAATTAAAAATTTGGAATTTTTAGGCAAGGGAACAGTTCAGAATAAGCTTCTATGATAATTGTGTACACATCTAATTTAGTAGTGCAGCTCACGAGTTTTGAGGAAAGCACGAAAATGTTCTTTACTGTGTCCACTACTGGTGCTTTTACGCTGTGTGGATTCCAAAGGAGCAGATGAGATGGCCCAGGGCAATAATCACCGCTACTAGTGTTCGTAACCGGGAAGTCTTAAGTGTTCGGCCTTCGTCGTTGGAGGATTTTTGTCATTTGCTGTAAAACTAGGTCGAATTCAGCCGCCAGGAGAGTTTTAGCATCATGATCACTTTTTTTCTTTCTCCGATCAACACCAGGCAAATGCCGGTGCCGTACCGGAACATTAGGGCCACAGACCACGCGCAATCTTCCATCCTCGCGAGCAGATACTCGACTCCCGGCAGGCGTGGGAGTGTGACGCATACAAGTAGTTACATGCACCACTCTACTACACATTGGAAGTAGTCTGAGGCGGGGGCTGGGGGAGATACCTGGAGAGAGAAACACAGCAATCCGTCGGGTTGGTCGGCGCCGAATCTCTAGTTCTAGCGTTGAAGGAACGCTGTCACCTCTCGGAGTATAACATTCACTATACCTTCGCAACTAATGACCCTAGCAGTTGAATCGCCCGGAATCACAGAATATAGTGCGATTTTTATACAGCTGCCTCTCACGTCCTGTCTTTACGACGAAATACGTCACGGCATTTTGCATCATTCTCGGCCGTGCCGCTAGACATATTCCGTCGTAAAGACCGGCCTTGGGAGGCAGCTGTATAAAAATCGCACTATAATCATTCGATTGCATATCTGCGTTCCGTGTCGGGCTAAGGCAGGAGGCGTGGCCGCGCGGGGCGGCGTAGTGCGCACTGCGTCGGCGCCCTCGCGAGGCGCACCCCGAGGCAGTGGCGACGCAAATTGCCCTTAACGGCGGCGGTGCGAGGGGCGGCGCGGCCCCTCGGCGCTGGGCGGTCATCGCACCCCTTCCCTCCGCAGGCCCTCTCGTTGCGCGCGGCGCGCTCGCTTGGCTTGCCGGCGACATGTCTCTACGTGTGTCTTTTGCAACTTCTCTTCTTTGCTTCGTTTGTTGACTCTCTTTCCGAGAATGGTTGTGGCGTTATCCTCTTTAGTTTTGTTTGCCCCTCTACGTGTTCTCACCCTCAATCTTCCCTCCTTAAATAATTTTCTTCTACTTGTTCTTTTGCCTCAGTCCTCCAAAGTGGTCTTTCTCCAATTTCTACCACATTTATTACTTGCCGTTCGACTTCACCCCTCCCACTATTCCTCTTCCCCTGTTATTCCGTATCTCGTATGTTTCTCGCCTTCTTTTTTCCTCTTCGCTTCTCTTTTCTACCACCCACTTTACATCCCCTTTCCCTATAAAATCTTCAATTCTATGTCCGAATGCTAACCCGCACGGAGGTAATAATTTGGATCCCGAACGAACTTGAGAAAATTCTACCACATAGATTCATTTTACACGAATTTATCGTTCCGTTTATTTCTCTTCGCCCTTGTCCCATTGCCACACAACTGTATTATTTATTTCCGCCCCCTCCCCGTTGCCGGTGCGGTCTCGGTCGCTTGCTCCGGATACAAACAATTACCGCGCGCTGGGCGAGCGGCGGCCGGCAGAGGGCGCGGAGGAGAGGCGCGCACCAGGGGCATCGATTTCCCCGGCCTGGCTGGCTGCGGGCGGAGAGGGCGCGGGTCCGCGCAGCATCACCTGTGGTCAACGCCCCACCCCACCCGACCTGCCCGCTGCTCGCTTCGCGACTGTTCCATTTCAGAGAATGGAGCGCGAACGTTCGATCCCGGGAGGTCGAGGGCTGCGCTATTGGTCCAGATTCTTAGCGCGCAGGGGCGGAGTCAAAGGACATGAGACGTTGTGCTAGGCTGAGGAATTAATTTTGATGATTACTATCTGCTGGTTTGATTTCTGTCCGTATGCCATGGAATGGAAAAATTGAATATATTATTGAATAATGAATATTTAATAGAAATAATGAACGATTTCTAGTAAATTATTAATTAATTTGGAGAGCGTTCCTCGACCTAAAATTGTATAAATCAAGCGCTAACTATAAGTAACTGCAATCAAGTGGGATCCAATAAAGTACGAGTTTCTATAGGGCGTCATTTTACCTTAAAATAATTCGACAAATTTCGTCAGAAATATGCTAGAGAAACAAATTCAACTTGGAGAATAATGCCAAATAACATTTTGTAATGAATATAACACTTTAAATTCATTATTACTCATTTTTTCAAAATTTAAAATTCCAGGTACATATTATATTTATGCAAGTATGATCTTATTTTTGAGTGAAATTCATCAGTTTGTGAATCCTGCGGTGATTAGCAGCATCCGACTCTTCACCTAGCAACGCCAGGGAGTGAGTGTCACGTCCCTTTCTCTGGCTGCAGAGCGGTATTTTAACAAAGTGAAGTCGTCGGTCACATTTGGTGCTTTTAGCCCAATGTTAATGGCGATAAATCGTGGCGATATTATGAAAGTCGATATAAGTTGGTGTGTCATTACTTGAAAAGGCGTTCGAATATCTTAGTTTTACTTCTGTTCAAAAAAATATTGATGTGAAATATTGACAGTTCATTACTTTCATTTGAGACAAATATTAAAAACTGTTAAACTACTGCTTCCTTGTTTCTTTAGTTTTCACACTTTTTCCGCCTTACCCTTTTCTTTTCGCAAAGGAAAATTTCGACGGTAAGAAACGATTTCGGTACAAAAGACGTGAGAGACGGAGAAACTCGGCTAAAGTATTACCTTGCGTTCTTTTTATCAACGGTACCCAATCCATGGACGACAGGTGAACTACCATCTGAGACAAGTCTTTCAAATTCTGATTAATTCTTGCGGTTATGTAATTGAAATATTCTCGAAATTGTCCCGAAATATTCTTGCTCAGACTCGTTTCCTCGCCTTCTTCGGCACCAAGCGAGAAAACATTACGCCTTGACATTCTAATTACTCTGCTAAATTAGAATGGTATTTTTCATTAAAAGAAAACTGGCAGTCTGGAGCTTCACAAATGTCATTCAAAAATTTCAGAGAAACATTAAATGTCATTAAACGTTCGCAAATTAATTGTGTGGTGAGTTCATTTTGAAACGGTAATAGTAGATTATTAGTACAGATAAATTACTTTTTTAAATTAACGGTTAAAATAATGGGAAAAGGCATTATAAGCGTGTTTTTTTCATTTAATGGTATGTATAATGATCATGAGTGAACTGAACGTATTAAAAACTTCACAAAGTGGCTCTCAAATTACGTTATATTAGGTACCGTTAATTTTTTTATAGCAAAATATGAGAAAATCAAATTTTTAAGAAAGAGAAACAAGAGTGACAACATTGTAGGGCATTATTCAATGACTGATCGTGGCTGTTTTGCTCGGGGACACTATCGCGGAAGGGGGGGTTCAAGTATAAGTCCACAATTTAATGATGGCTAAATAGGGCTCCGTTCATCTCTCCCTTTCTCTATTCCCCGTGGCATACGCTCTTCATTCATTTTAACCTATTGTTGCTATCCGAAATCTCGTTCATTAAACGACTACTTTATGACGACACTAATAAGCTAATGAATTTAGTTACATAAAGTATCAGAAAGCGAAACTTATTTTCATCTGTTGCACCGAAGAATATTTTATCATAACCAATAATTAATGTACACATACGAAATATCACTAGAAATTGTTGATCTCTTAATGAACTTTACTGACAATATTTTTAAAAAAAACTTCTACTACTTTCAATTCTGCACTACTTTTTCAAAGCTTGCTCTCGCTTTCAAAAATTGCTCAAGGTTAGGTGTATACTCTGAACCGTGAGCAAGCAGAAAAGAACTGTGTTTAAAATACATCTCTGAAGAGTGGAGTCTCCGTCTCTCTCTGTCTCTCTCTGCCTCTGTCTCTCTTTTGTCTCTGTCTGTCTCTGTCTC